CCTCCAACCCGGGAGCTGCGCGGCCCCCTTCGGTAGCAGCTGCCTCCTGTGGCAGCTGGAAGCCAGGCCAGGCTCTGATTGGGCCAGGGCCATGGGCGGTGCCGCGAATGGGACTGGGTCTCAGGAAACCAGGCAGGAAAGAGACCGGCTCCCCGGCAGCGCCAAGCTGCGGTTTCCTATGCATGGACGGAGGGGCTCTTCACTCCACGCCAGCCTGGCGGGTGCTCAGCGTTCCCTCCACGTTTTCCCAGCCATGTGCGGAATGAGTTTTGCCATGTGCACCACAGCGAGGCCGCGCGCCGGTGCGGAGGTGCTGCCTCCGTGCCCGCCAGACAGCACCCGAAAGCCGGGGCCCATCCCATGGTGCGGGACGGTAGGTGGTTGTGGAACGAGGCAGGACATTCAGTGCTGCACAGTGCTCAGAGCCACGTGCGATCTCAGTACCGCGGTGGTGCTTGTCCTCGCTGGCAAAGCCGAGGGGCGGCAGTGGGGCTGGGCTATGGGGCTGAGCAGGGTGAGTGGGACGGACGTTTCCTGGCTCGCTGCTGAGCGCTCGCTGGGCAGGCATTGCTCCCTCGTGCGCAGGACACAGGGTTGGAACGTTTCACTTGGTGCACGGCTCTCCGATCGCATGGGGCCGCTGGCCAAAGGGCCGTGGGTCACTGGCCCCTCTGCGCATGGTGTTTGTGTGGGTTACGGGCTGCACCTAAGCAGGCTCTGAACCCCACGGTGGCCACGAGCACCCGCATCGCAGCACCAAGTCAGCGCCGGCCCCTTCTCAGCCCTGCCTGGCTCCTGGGGCTTCTACCTGGTGCCGTGAGCCACAGCCCAGCACCTGGGGCTCCTGGGGCAAGGGGCGGAGAGATGGGGAGCTGCCCCCACTTCTGTCCCCAGCAGCCTGGCACATGGGGCTGGCTGGGAGGGGCGGTGACGGAGGGGACGGAGCCAGCTGGGCCGTGTGGCTTCTCCTAGCCTGGGGTGCACACAGCCCCCTGCCTGGCCTGGCCACATGCCGCAGCCACCGGCTGGGCGGC